GACTGTGAGTCTAGATTCCTATTCTAGGTCTTGGCCACCTTTAGTGACTATAAACAAGAACGTTTACCTTATCAATTCAAATTTCTTCAATTTAATTATATCTTTTCATAGTTTTACACTGTTTCATAACATTATAGCCAGTTCCTTTTGCAGCCTACTTGTATATTATGTTGTTTTTCACTTTGATGGGGGAAAGGAGGAGTGAGGGTGGGGGGAGGGGGGGGGTGAAATGGGAAAGAGGGGGGGGGGGGGGGGGGGGGGGGGAAAGGGGGAAGGAAGAAATGGTTGAGGAAGGTGGGAAGTGGGGGGGGGAAAAAGAAAAAGATGGAGGAAAAAAAGGGGAGAAAGGGGAGGGGGGAGATGGGAAAAATAAAGGGGAAGGGGAAAAAAGAAAAAAATGGTAAAAGGGCGTTGAGGGCCAAAATATCCGTTGATCAGTCCCTTGCTTCCCTCACCTCTTGTTGCCCCTGTCCGTATTTCTTTTATTCCTTGCCCATTATGTTAGTGTGTCGTATGCCTTTGTTGTTATTTTTTATTTGTATCCCCCCCATAAGTCCGATATCATCCTCTATTGTTTAAATCCCGTGTTTTTGGCCCGCGTTGTTTTCCTTGGTTTTTTAAGCTGCCTTGGCCGGCCCCCGTTATATTTGTTTCCCAATTTCTTACGTTTTTTAGGAAACCCCAAACCCAACCACCACAGCAAAATTTTCCACACCAGACCACAAAACCCCAGTCCAAGTGCCCTCATGCAGCCCTGACCACGCCCACGTCTGCCTCATGCCCGCAAACTGGCGGTACCCCGAACGACCTCTGCGTCCAAGCCAAACCCACTTGCCAAACTGCCAGCCGCACGCCATCTCCACGATCACTAAAGGACAAACCAACCCTGTTGAAAGTTTACGAGAATGCATACTCTCCTTTGGACTAAGCTTAAGGTTGAAATGAAAAAATCTGGCCAATTGAAATTAGTGTACCATGCAAATGATATTACTGTTGCTCGACAAGTAAGCGGTTTTCGGCTAACCTCTTGACATATGACGCGGCAGTTTTCATAATCCACAAGATCCTCGTACAGCCGCAACTCGGAATCATCCAGTGCTGTCCGGTAATCGCCGAATAAGATAGGATCAGTCGTGGCATAGTTCTCATATTCCTTAAAGTGTTCACGTATTAGTTCCATGACGAAACCCTGTGATGGGAGAAAAGAGACGAAAAAACGTGAGGAAAATCTCATCCACTAAAGCAACTGTACATCCAACAATGGCGATGAACAAATGGCCATCTTTCGATCAACCGCATTTTTGGTGGCCACGTGAGACTAGCAGTCCGTCGCAACGAGACTGGACGTTAATGTGGTACAACGGTTTGCAAAGACTTCGACCCATACAGCTATACCTCAGATGTCATCGAAAAACGCGTCAACAGTATGCCGGTACGCAGTACCAAAGCTACGCTGCGGCGCAACCACCACCAGTTGCACGTGGGCCATGGATACTGCTAGGATCGCCCGGTCCCGTCATTATCATCATACACGTTAGCTAGAGGTGGGAAACACCTCAGCTACTCTGCCGCAATACAAAGAAAAAGGGAGAAAAAATGCAACTGGTGCAAGCCGGCTGAGGTACCGCTAACGGATGGACATCGTTCCGGTAAGCTACCAACCGGCTACTGTGCATCAAAAAAATTACTATGCAAAATAATATAAGGCTAAATAATGAGATCGTGGTTGGAGGCGGAGGCTAAGAGGGATGGGGTGGGACAAAGAAACTCACAGCACGAACGCCACTGAGGTCGGCTCCTTGCCATATCAGCAAGTGTGTCCAACCAAACGTGTTCATCGTCTTTCCGACCCCAACCAGGGAGTCGAGACGCTCGAACCGAGGCCAGCTCAGAAGTGAGGGCCTTCATTCCTCTGGACCAAGTCATCGCTTGGCCACCCCTCCTCTTCTTCCATCCACACCCCCGGCGCGCAAACAACGCACGTCGCGGGACGTCGGTGGGCTGGTATGCGTAACACGTGGCCCAGCCATCGGAGCCTGATGCGTGAAATAACGGTGCTGAGCGGTTCATTTCCTTTTCCTGTGCCGTAAACAAGGCGTCGAACACGCTGGTTGCTCAGGCGGTGTTCCCACCATATGTGAGCTAAATTACGAAGGCACCGGTGGTCCCGTACGTAAGATCGAACCCGCGCCCTCATATTACAAAGCGAGTTTATGATCCTTTGTGGTTAGAGGTCAAAGAACTCAGGATTCGGATTCTCCAGGTTGGAGCTGAAGATAGGATAGCGTCCATTTCTCTAAAACCGAATCGTTGTCAGCAAGCTACCTTGCTGACAGGATTGTGGGCCAAAGGCTTTGGTTAACGACACTAATCGTTCTCCTGTCTAGATTTAGACGCCATAACAGCACGTCAACCCACACGTAAGCGTGACTACACCCATGGGAATTGACGTGTGTTGCATGTCCGAACCTAGCATCAATGACCCTCACAGGGTTATTGAAGTAACAGCACCTGACTCGTCCTCTCGTTATTGCTTGCACTCATCCGGAGACGCTGATGCGGAAACCTCTGGTCAAGTTGCAGTAGTCATTGTTCTCAGCTCCAAGGCTGAGTCATCGCTGGTTGAGTGGATTCCCGTTAACAGCCGTTTGTGTGCAGCCGTTTACGACACCAACGTTGATTAATGAAGTAGCGCTAGCCACTGCTTGTTTCTTTGTGGTTTCCGCACACGCTCCCACTGATTTCGTTTCTTATGCCGCTAACGACATCTCCTACCACAAACCGACCGCGCTGCTTGCCACTGTTATCAATTCAGATATCCTGGTTCTTGCAGGAGATAGGAGTGCACAACTCTGTCGTCTGGGCTCTCCAGAAGTTCAACTAAGTCATAATTATGGGCGTAACTCCGAACGGATAGAGAGAGACGAGCGTCTGTTTTGAATGTGCGAGGAGCACCGTAGTTTCTTTGTAGCATTACTTTTAGACACACTGGGCGCCGAAGTGCCACTTGGCACACAACAATAGCCCACCAGCGATGGACGCTAATTGATCAAGTTGCTATAATCTACAGTTGGCGTGGCTCCATACTGGATTGACGCTTTTTCTGGAATACATGCATCAACTCTGATCATGCTTTGGTACACTGTACCTTTGCCAGCGGACGCACCAATCGCTTCCCTCGATTGGCTTAATCCGATTAATGGCAAGAGCCTCGCCAAACCGGAGGAGCCGGGAATTGGTAGGATGAGGCAGGATCCTAAACGCCTTGTTGACCTCAATTCGGTGACCCGATGTCAATAAGTGTCTGCCGATCGAAGATGCCGGCGGCCTGCGTGCACACGTAATCTGAGTTGGGCTTGTTTGCTGAATAACCCGCATTGGACCCAGTTTGGTACATGCTCCTCTATTCGGGAACTCAGTGTTCTAATGGTTCTGCCTATGTAACTATCTCTGAAGTTACATACGAATTGATATACGCAGCGGGAGTTGGCCCCAATAGACTGAGTTCCCTTCAATGGAGACAACGGTAACTTATGAGTTCCGTCGATGATTACAAGGTCGGCAGTACAGAAAGTGCTCTGTGTGGCGAAAAGCAGACGTCTTGCAGCAATGTCACCGTTAAAGGGCAGCTCTAAGAATACCTTTTCATAGGTACAGTAGGTACAGTAACTTTCACTTCACGGATTTGGCTGTGCTTCGGGATAAATTTTCGCCATCTGCACTACCACCAGCGTCTTCGACCCCGGCCGAGCCTCAGGTTCAATGTTCTCCACTGATTGAAGACTCAAACTCGGAACATACGAAATACTGCTTCACTGGTCGGTCCGCGAATTTCTCAGAGCCTGTCTGTCAACCTTTGAACACCGAGGATCCATAAACCCCTCAAAAGCGCAAAGGGCCACGTAATCGAGTTCAGGCGTCCCCTGCTGATAAACAACAAACCAAACCGATAAGCACCTCTAGTCCTGCTCCCACTGGTTCATCACCGATTTCGCTGAGGCATCATAATCTCATGGTTTTCCACGTACCAGGATCAAAAGATGCAAACCCTCAGATAAATTATGATCACGATGTTGAGTTCCTCCAGGGGCTCATCGATAGACTCTTGGATGTGGGCGAGGACAGTGTGACGATTAAACAAGTAATCCGACTTGGCCAGAAAACTAACCAATCATGTCGACCTCTGCAAATCACCTTTGCAAATCACAATATCTCGCAACTCATACTGTCTCATCTGTCAAGGCTGAAATGCATAAAGTTTCACATCCACCGAGACTTGGTACCCAAAGACAGGGATCGTTTAAAGACGGTGATCATTGAGCTCAAACGCCGTGCAAAAGAAAGTGCGACTGACTTACGAATTGTAAATTTTCGGGTGATCAAGAAGAGTGTACGAACCGGTATCAGTCGGTTGTTCAACCTTCAGGCACGTCCCTCGGTACCTCCCAGGTCCTCCTTGTGGCATTCTCCGACGTGTGCAGCCTAATGAATAAACTTGAAGAATTGTGCCGCTTCGCTGTCTCGGAGCGGCCGGACGTTTTACGACTTGAAGATACTTGGCTGAACTCAGACGTCATACCCCCAAGAAGTCGTCTTGTCAGGGTACTCTTGTTTCCGACGCGACCGAAAATCAAAGGCTCACGTGGGGTTCTGTTATACATCAAATCATCACTATCTGGCAAACTTATCAGCACCCGTCGGAGCGAAGATAACTTATGCGAGCAACTGTGGTGCACACTCCACCTCAGACACGCAGAACTACTAGTAGGTGTTATCTACAGTAGTCCATTAAACCGTTGTTGCGTTTGGGCACCACATGTACAGAAACACATGAGCCGCCCTCAATTCTTACTGATGGAAGGTCTAAATTTACCCAAGATATTCTGGCCAAACGTTCGGCTTCTACCCGTTCATGACGACGTTGAGGCTAAATTCGCTAAAATGTATTGAAATCGGGACAACGCAAGATATCATCAAACCGACGCACATAAGTCCGCACTTGGCATCTTGTCTGGACCTAATGTTTATGAGCTGCGAGCAGAAGCTGAAAGACATCAGAGTCCTCGAACTTCTGGCAGACCGTGTCTACTGCTCCATTGTCGCAAGCATAGAACTGCCGTTATTGTATTGCAACCAACGGAAGCCAACATCCAACTACTGGAAGACGGACTTCAACGGACTCGTCCAAGCCGCAAGTCAGACTGATTGGACACTACCACATGATGCGTCACTTGAGGCCTGGTGGTCATTAATAAAGGAGAAGCTTAACTCGCTCTGTACTCGGTTCGTTCCCTTCAAGTATTCAAAAATCGGGCCTGTCAAACCGCATTGGTTTGATAGGGAATATAAACGGTTAGAAGGACGGTGTCGCAAACTTTGGGATAGATACATCATCTCGGGTTGTGACGAAGAGTACAAGTATACAAGAAATAGCGTAACATATGTAACGCCTCAAAGATCAAGAAACGCCGGCAGTTCGAAGAGGAGCTAGCAGCCGCGACCATAAGCGCCCCCATGTGAATATTTGCCTACCTGAAACGTCAACTGAAACCTGCGGGTGAACTACCGGTCTTAGAGAGCTTGAATGTACAGGCGCTCATTTCAAGCACAGATAACGCGGATTCCTTGATTTCGCACTTCCTCATCGTATTTTGCAGTAAACCAACGGCTGTTCCAGATGTTCGTTCGACTCAATCGATCCAGCCACGTGACCCGTCTTATGATTGACTTGAGGCGTTACAGGACATTGCTCGCAGTCAGCATCAGTGGTGCGTCTGCTACCGTCTCCTAGTCGGACTGCATGTTAAAAGTGTTTTGTGCTGAGTTATCAGCGGGCTACTGGCGGAGTATGAGGCGGAACTTTGAACGCCTCAAGGAATCTGTCTCCTCGATACCGCCTTTGCAAGATAGGCAGCTGTTTGTGATTGGATTTTGTTGACAACTTAAGCGTCCTGACTCTGGTCGTTTCTTTAAGTCTCTCCTTTCTCCCTCTCATTATTCTTCGTTCCGACGATCATTGTGGCTATACGGCAGAGCAGCATCAGTTCAAATGGCTAATATACTACCGTTGATGATGTTGAAGATGAGGGTGTTGAGAATGAGGATGAGGAAGATGATGATGATGGCTACTATTAGAACGCTGGTTACTCAGGCTACCTCACTTTCGATCACGCACCTTAATCAGCGACTTTCGTCAAATCATGTTAATTCTGGTAAGCCTTAGACAACTACAGAAATAGGGCTTGGCATATTGGCGCCGAAGGCGTTAACATTCTTCAGTAATGTGATGGAAGGCAGAGGTAGGAAAACGAGCTAAGGATTTATTGTGCTGCGTTCGGATATTGCGATCCTCTGCACCGATGGATAATGCGTCTGCTTTGAAGTCCACAGGACTCCGTTTCGGGCGTGCACAGATCTGGACGATGTCACATCATCCATAGCCAGGACGCGACTGGCGGTGGTCGCGCAGCAGCAGCAGCGTACAGGAGGTCGTGCAGCTGTACTGCTGACACTATTATTTGTTATGCTAGGAGTACCTCCTGAGGGTGCGAGAAAAGTAGCAGTAGTATACTAAGGAACACTGATCTGACTGGGAGAATTGCTAAATGCTGTCACAAATCTCGGTGTCTAGAATCTGTTAAGTTAGGTGATGCGAACAAAAAAATTATTAAACCAGATTATTTAGGGAGGAGCATGCGATAGGTAAGGACAAAGTGGCACCTTTTGACGCTGTATGGTACAGGTAAATAACTGCTGAACCATTTGTGGAGAAATTGCAATTTAGGTGGAAAAATTCGTCAGTGGCAACTATCGCTTGATATTCCGTCTTACTGAGAGTCCTTCATAGTAGCTTCCAAGTTAGGCAGTCTGCTGCGCAGCCGTAAAAGCACCATTCGGCCGTTTCCTCTTATCGGGACTAGTCAAGTATTGCGCATTTCTCGTCCCCACTGGACAGTGATACCAGCTAAGTATGCCATCAGTCGATAGCCTATGCTACTAGGCCATGAATAATGGCAGTAATTCGTCATGACTAACATGGTGAATTCTATATAGTGCGTCTCATCCTTCAAGCTGCAAACTTTGCACGGGAGAGGATTTTCTCCTAGAACCACATCTGGTGTTGTGAGGCCCAGTTCGACTGTCAGGGAAGCCAAAAGTTGCGCAGCATATAAGGAGTTCCAAAGGAAGGAAGTGGCCGACTAGTGCTTCTCTGGATGCGTGTTAAAATATCTGACTTGGAACCTCCTTCGAAGAACCCTCATATTTTTATTCGAATGAATATTCAAATGTGTATGAACCTGTGCTGCATTAGACGCTGATGACATCCAGTCCCGACATAACCTATTCGTGCTGTTGAACGACAAGTAGACTGGGATCGACTGCCTACCTTCACCAACTGCTGATCTGAAATGTCGACCAACCGATCCATGATAACCCGCCGGACTTCATGGTACCAGAGACGAACCATTTGTTCAGTGCGGCTGAAGCGATCCACTGTCATCAAGCACAAGCCACTGTAAATGCGACTGATATCACGCATGTTAAAGACGTAATGGAACTTGGACGGAGTCGGAGGTAACTGAGAAGTGAGGCGTCTAAAGTGGAATAAAAAAGGGTGGAGCAAATGGAATGCTGTGACATGATTCTTATGCATTCAGCCACAGAAATCAATGGAGAAGCTTTTATGAATTTACTACCTATACTGAATCTGATTTGACAGAACATGAGTCAAAGGTACTCGGGTAGAACTGTTTGTTAGGGTCACATGGTGTCTACTAAACTAAATAGTAAGGGGTACCAGGTAGCTTGTAGTGAATTTATGCTACGAACACCAAATCAGGGACAACGCGTTATGTTATTAACAGTGTGTGGGTGCAATGAACAATGATTTATCGCAGGTAAACTTAGAGGTGCTTGACGATTCCCGTAGGATGGCCGGATAGGAAAATACAACATCAAAACATGTGACTCATCAGTTCAAGCGTCTACCGATGTAAATACACCGCTGTATAACGATAGTGTGAAATAAGAATCGAAGCGAAACGCACAAAAGGATATGGAAAGGAATTACCTCTGAAGTAACCGTTGAGCAAAATGGAATTGAATACTCTCACTCAACTACCAACACTTTTGGTCTATGTGATACGTTACTCTAGAATGAGGACATCATAAAGGTTTTCCACGATAGCATCGTTTAGGTAGTGAAGTGCGGAAGTTGAATTGAGCACATTGATTGGTGATGTTATGCCGACGCATGATTAATTAAGTACCAACTTGTTGTTATGGCCTGACCAAGTTACCGTGCACAACCTGAAGGATATGTTTGAGTCAGTGGCTACAGTGCTTTATCTAAATGACACCGATATAATCATATGCTCAGCCGACGTTACTTCCTTGTTCATGGATGTGCCGATATTCAAAACTATAAAGTGCGTTCACGATTATGTTGATGAAAACCAAGTGGCTATTTTTATGCCCACCCTGGCCCCAAAAGAACTGCTACTCGGGTGCACATTCAGTATTCATTTTCTGTTTAACCACGAAATACATCGATATTACAATGGAGTTACGATGGGCTTTTCTCGCCAAGGTGTTTGTAGGTAGGCTGGAATAGGGCGAGTTAGTGGTTACCATGAACCTCAGTTTGAACCGCCGTTATGACAATGACATCTTCATATTGCTTCACTCCTCCCTAATCATAGATGACTTCCCTTAGGTATTCAACCAGGTGCAAGAAAAGGTATAGTTCATCTCCGAAGTGGAAGAAAAGGATTTTTCCACTTCTAACGGGGTCATAAAGCGATTTCACGGTAGTGCGTTGCAGCGTCATATGTATAGACAACGTACATCCATCAAACAGCATACAATTTTTACAGCTTCCTTCCACTTAAATCAAAACGGAGCCCAACCTGCAGTGCTTCACCGTACGATTGCATTGCTTTGGCATTCCATTCTATAGTTTACTCTTTATTGCTTATATTATAACACCATAAGTTACTTGCCCTTGTTCCACTCGGAATAACAAACGCTATCCGATAGATTGCTAGGCGTAGGAATTAGTTCGTTTCATTATCACCTAAATCACCTTACTAATTTCAAAGGAGATTTGTCGGAAACTCAAGTGCACAATAACCCTACTTTTGAGTATATTTCAGGATACTTGACACCAAGCGAACAGGCGTACTCAGGGGCTTTTAGCTTGCCCTTTCCCACCAATTTCTGCCATTCTGTTGGGTAGTCGTAGCCACTTTTGCAACTGCTACTTGTATATCTATGTCTACACCGTCGATCCTAGCATCAACGCACCGACCGTGTAAGTTGACTAATTTCCTCTTAGCCCGCAACAAGCGATAAATTCCACCATTGTATTAACTTGCGTCTCACTGCCGCGATCAACCCTCCAGTCAGTCAGTAGGATTACAACTCAAATCGGAAACAAGCTGACCATATGTGGCGTTTCGAGGATCATGTGAACTGAAACCAGCGTGCAATGCAGCGTTGTGAAGTGAGAGCAAGATAGTTTTATCGCATTTCCCCTCACCCAAGTGAACATGGTTATGGACCCTGTAACACCGAGTTTGTCATGTCCCCACCACAATTCAGACAACCTCGACAAACTAAGAACAATGTGTCCTCTGTGCTATGCACCAAGCGAGTAAAATGTGATGCCCTAAAACAGTCACTAAAATGTTCTTCCACATGCTCTAAAATCACATCCAAACTTAGCGCTAAAGTCTGCTTTTTGCAAGCAGGACTCGAGGAAATGAAGAAAGGTTTGTCCTTCCTTGAACCGCATATAGATCACTTAGTCTCACTGCATTGCATCAGCAACCCATTAGGAAATTTGAATCCTGTTCAACTGTGTAAGCCAGGGCAGTTAAGCGACTTTATCGCGTCAGATGTAAATGAAAGAAACCGTGGATTACCAACTTGTTTTCCAACATTCCAGACAAATTCAGTCTGAACCAAGTAAAAACGACGATACTGAGAGCTTGTAGGATGTCCGAGGCAGTCTGTAAATGTCTGCGTTTAGAGAAGAAAAGGTTGAGGCACTGGCGCCCGATCATATCAAAATTTTCAGGCGAAGAATCAGCAGATCTCTACTTGCAAAGAGTACATGCACATCATTACTGAGAGCACCCATTCAACGGCATACTGGTTAAACCAGATCGTACACCGCGGCAACGATCTCACCTCAGAGTGGCACCGAGCAGGTAGAAAAACAAGAGCATATGTGTTGTTGAACCACGCACAAATTCAAATGAAAAGTGTACACTAAGTAGGTCAATCACAGTTAGCAACCTGGATCTCGAAAGCTCGTAACTAGGAATGGTAACATCCAATGACTCCCTCAAGAACTCAAAGTCTACTGTGCGACAGCAGAACATAATCCAAAAGAATAACCCATACCGCGGTCTTCTCGCTCCGAACTCATTCGGTTTAATAACTAATAACAGTATTAAACAGCGAACAGCTGATCGAGGAGGGCTCTTACACAAGGCGATCCGCTGCCTTAGAAGTACAATGTCATCCCACACGTGACCGTGAACTTCACACTCACCCACTGGTCTACTGTGGTTCAAATGCCTTAGGCCACCGCTTGTCTGACACACACACACACACTACTTAGTCTATGTTGTCGGCTGTCTTGCTTGTTTCATGTGACTTGAGATCTGATCAATGCACTGTCCGGTGCGGTGAAAGTCTATTCTGACGGCTGTACGATCCCTTAACCCATTTTCTGAGAGCGGTTTTTAGAGACAATTTGTTAAAATGTAATTTAAATTCTTGAATTAACACAGCATTTATAATTTGGTGACTGCACTTTCAGAAAAGACACCAATTTATGTCATTTTTCATGTCATTTTACCTTATCCACGTTATCCTTAATTAGTTTAATGCTTAAATCCCATTTTAGGACGTGTCCATTACGAAGGACGCCAGCAGAAAATGGGTCAACCACGATGGAGATAGCTGATCATCCACAGCTAACGCAATTGCTACAACAGCAGTATAATTACATCCAGCAGCAACAGCGGGATACACTGTAACAAGAACAAAGACAGACATTGTTATACCAAGCATTCACTGAGAAACTGCCATCCCTAAGTTTAACAGCCACCACAGTGAAACCCGACTCCACTTCAGCTCGAGCGTTGGCAAACGGAATGCGAGACTTCCAATACGATGCAGAGAACGACATCAATTTTGCAACCTGGTACAGGCGGTATGAAGATCTTTCCGGTTGACGCGATCACACTTGCTGTTGCGGCCCAAGTACGGTAGTTGCTAAGGCAGCTAGGCGCAAACGAACACAACCAGTACTGTAATTTCATGCTACCGAAGCACTCCCGCGAATGCAATTTTCAGGAAACTGTAGATGTTCTCAATTCCATTTTTAGTGAAAGGTTCCAATTGTTAACACCACTGACGAGCCCCAATAGGGCGAAACGGCCGTCTGGTGCTTTTCCGGATAGGTAGTTGACTTAGCTGAATTGTCGGCTGATTGCGACGAACAAACTACCCGTTATCAGTGTTTGAAGTTGATTAAGAATCAATCTGAGGATTCTGTTTCATTCGCTGGCAGAGTGAACCACTCATGTGAACGTTTCAAGCGCAAACAACGTACGGACGATCAGTTTAAGTCACCCATTTTTGTATCTGGCTTTACCTCTGCAGGCCGGTTTCCGCCCAGGGCGTGGCTGTATAGACCATATATTTACTTTGCGGCAGGTGCTAGAGCAGCGCCACGCATACCGCAGACCGACAATAGCTGAGTTCCTCGATTTCAAGAGTGCGTTCGATTCAGTCGATCGATCGATTCTGTTCGAAATACTTGCGCGGAAAGGTGTTCCCACGAAATATGTGAACATCCTTCGTGCTCTATACTCGAACACTACAGGCCGCGTCAGGGTCTACGGTGTCCTATCGGATAGCTTTACGACCACAAGTGGCGTTCGTCAGGGTTGTCCGATTTCCCCATTTTTGTTCAATTTCGTCGTGGATTCTATCATGGAGTGTTCCCTTGCGGAATCTCATGATGTGGGCGTTGAAGTGCTACCTGGTGAAAGGTTAGTTGATCTAGATTATGCGGACGATATCGTCTTGCTTTTCGACGATGTTGGGGTGACACAATCAACCCTGGATAGCCTGTCCAGAGTGGTCCCATTATTTGGTATGCATTTCGCACCTTCAAACTGCAAAGTGTTGCTGCAGGACCACCAGCCACTGGATGACCCCTTGACGCTTGTTAACGAGGAACTCGAGGTGGTCGCTCATTGCACTTATCTTGGCAGCTGCATCAGCAGTGATGGGCGCATGGAAACTGACGTCAGCTCACGCATTGCAAAAGCTAGTGCTGCCTTCTTGAACCTGCGGCATCTTTGGCGACAGAAGGGAGTTTCCCTCCGTCTGAAAGGCCGGCTATACAAGGGTCGTTCTGCTCTATGGTAGTGAGACTTGGCCCTTTCGGTCTGAAGAGCTGAGGCGCCTTCAAGTCTTTGATCATCGTTGTTTGCGAAGCATTGCTGGAGTCGGATGGCACCAGCGTGTCCGCAACGATGATGTGCATAGGCGAGTACTAGGTGGTGATAAT